ATATACTAACTTAGATTTGTGTTTCCTGTACTAGGTAGGAGGATCCTCTTTCTCATAAAGCTGTCTTGGAAGATTTTTAGAAATCAAGTTAACTTGGTTTTCCTTCTGAACTTTGTTATACTTTATGTATTTTGCATGTAGGCTGCATGGGGGAACCTTCCTTTTTTATTGCTTGAGCAACACAAAGAGTTTTTCTCTCTTCCTCTAATCCCCAGCTGCACTTAATGATGCAGGTCTAAATCAGCCTGATATGTGCCTTCCTCCCCTAAATCATTTTCCTCATCTGCTTCACTAGATGAAGAAGGAAGGCATTCCAGTGATCCTCATTGCTCTTGCTTGACCCAGACAGATATGGTATGCTGACCTGATAAGACTCCTAGCAGCTTCTCGGCTGCCACTGTCAGATTGTCCCAAGGACTGATTTTCCATCCTGTTTCACAGATGCTGGCTTTAATGGCTTCACCAATGAAGTGCCCATTTTTTTCCTTAGTCAAGGCATCTCTGAATCTGTGTTTCCTATAACAGCTGGAAGACTAATCCTGTATGGTCAACTATCAGGCATGGAATGCATATTTCACTTGGTGTGAGTTTCAGGGCTTCCACACTAGGGGTTTCTCTGTGGAATTATTCATCTACTTCCTGCAGCTGGACCTGGACCAGTGTTTGGCTCTCAACACTTTCCAGGGTCAGGTTTCTGTGTAATCTATCTTTTTTCAGAGACTGTTGATTCACTCCTTGATTTATACCTTTGTACAGCTCCTTCTGTTCGTTGCCCTGTGATCTCATGAAATCTGAGTCTTCTTCTCTTTGTGCTTCAAAGATCTCCATTAGAGGCATTTTATACTCTCACTCGCAAGGTGGGGTTCTTGTAGACATCACCTTTGTGAGAAAAGCATCTGAATTGGTGGTCTTTACCTTTCTGATTTCCTTCTTGGTTAAGGAAGTTCTAGCCCTCACCTCAACTGGAACTTGGTTCACATGTCCCTGTAGTTCACAATAAGGAAAATTTTCTCCTTTTTCTGGATGTGTTTTGGGCTTTGAGAGTCTATCTTTCAGCCATTGCTTCTTCAGGAAGACTGATTTCTTCTTAACCTACTGTAAACTTTAAGGGTGCACTAGTTTCTCAGTCCAAAATCTCTATGGTTTTAAGGATTGGGCTCCACCCTTTCCTGTCAAGGAGCATTTTACTAAATTTGCAATTGTTCCCTGCTCTTTGTGGCAGCTCTGCTGGGCAGATATTCTGACCTCATCTGATACCAGTTTCAGGTGCTAGGTCCTACAAGTGGCTCTTCAAGCTGCAAGCAGTCCTCAGTTTTCTGTTTTTTTGTCTTGAGTCTGTTAGCCTTTGATGCTGTTGCCTCTATGTTTTGGACTGCTTTTGGACATCCCAAGAGTCTAAAAATGAATGTGTCCCTCAATGGGTGAGAAAGAAAACAGAGTGTTTCACTTACAGTAATATTATTTTCTTAAAGTTCATTGAGGGACAAGGGTCCCTCCCCTCTGTGTTTATTTTCACAAAACTAAGGCATGATGGTTGTGTGGGAGTTATACAGTGCTGCTCAATTTTTTTTTTTGTTGTTGTTGTCAGTGTCCATTTCTCCTGTAGGTAACAGAACCACCAGTGTGTCCCTCAATAGATAAAATAATGAATTGTGCATCAATTACCTTACTTCTCAGCCTTGATTCCAAAACCCTCTTTCTAAACCATCCTGCAGTGTAATGGTTTCCTCTGTGAGCAAAGCTAATTTCCTGCCTTGGGGACCTGACATTTTTCCTTGCTTGTCACCTTCTTTGGCACTGGTCCCCTCACCACCTCCATGAGTTCTCCTGCCTCTTTGAGAGAAGAAACAAAAAGGACCCCAGGAAGTAAACAGAAGAAGAGAAAGGGATCATCATGTGACTGTGGTTTCAGTTAAGTAAAATGGGCATTTGGATACTGTATATATTTTTTTCCTACCAGTGGTTGGTTAGAGGGGGTTAGAGGTAAGGATGAGAAGAGGGTTGGTAATATCCTTGAGTTGGGTGTATATATATATATATATATATATATATATATATATATTGTTCATGTAGCTTTAGATTAATGAATGTTCCCTATCCACTATGTGGCATGGTGCTATTGCACAGGACCAGGGTATTTTAGTACAAAAAACACTGACATATTTAATAGAGTTGTTACTATACACAACAGTGCAACATCTTGTTCCAGTTTGCATAAGTCTGCCATATTATTGTTTGGGCAGAATTTTTCTAAGGCAAAAGTAATAAAAAATAAAGCACTTTTGGTTTACGAAACAAACAACTGAATTTCGTCCTGGAATAGATTGGATTGGACTAACCCCAACAAACCTTGACAGACCTTTTTCAGTTTCGACATTTGGCACTGGGCAAGACCCACAACAATAATCTCCAAAGGGAAGCATTGCAGATATCTACATGCAATTAAAAGAAAAACAAAACAGAAAAACAGCGATGGCAGAGGGACATTCTAAAAATGAGTGTGCTTATCCCATCAACATAATAGGGTAGTTCTATTGGAATTGAAGTATGGTGTACAGTTGCACCAATGATATGCATGTTTTTGTCTAGTGTGGATGCCCCTTTTTGGGTTTATGTTACCTTTGGGGATGGTGGTGTGTTTTTATGGTTTAGAAATGCCCCTTCCAATCAATATTCTGCTTTTATTTTGGAGCCCTTATCCTAAGGTACTCATCAACATAAGATTGCAAACTTTTACCTTTAAAAAAAAGTTTACAAGTCTATTCAGTGTAGTTTATAATTTGAGGCTTCGACTTTGGAGCACATGTATACAACTAGTTTAAAACATATAACGGTAGCACTGTGCAGCTGACAAGCTTTATTGCATGCTGCAGACCTGACATTTCAGCGCATCACAGTGTATGGAAAGAGAAACAGCAGATCCAAATAAACCAATATTTACATACCTGTTACTTTAGGTTTTACCTGGATTTCTTCTCAGACGTCATTCCATTAAATGATAAATACTGTGTGTATAATGTCAGTAAGAGGTTCCTTGAACTTATCGAACATAGAAGAATAGCCTTAGTGATACCAACTGTAAAGCAATTATCAGCAAGTAGCTGAGACCTCATTTCTTCTAAAGCAAAACCTGTATATGCTTATCAAGCTTATATAGTTGTTTAATATATAAAAACTTGTGAAAAGAAATTGAGACAAAAGTGGGAACGTAAAGCAAGTAGTCTAATTGATCACCTAGATTACTTTATGTTTTTTAACTTATATTAAATTATAGCCAAAATTTGTCACTAAGGCTCCATGCACACTGGGTGTTTACTAAAAACACATCCAAATACACTGGTTTGCCGCGTTTTTCAGCGTTAGAACATTTTTACAGCTAAAAAACTCCTAGAAACCCACTAGATTGGGGTTTTTTTCAGCCAAGAAACACCCTGCCAAAAACCGCTGATTACAGCCTATGTGTGCATGGACACATAGGATAACATGCTGGGGAGTTTACTAGCTGTAGAAAAAAACGCCAAAAGCCAAAAACAGCGGCTCTAAAAATGTCCAGTGTGCATGAGGACTAATGCTTCCTTCTGTTTTAAATGTATTAGAACCTCTAATTTAGAACTTTAAACCAGTAATATGACCATGTATTTCTTGCACTATTTAATGACTTTCAATTTACAGAAGCATTTCTGGGGACTAAGATACATACCGTTTTAGCGTTTAATTGCACATTTGTGATTTGTTTTCTTTGTTACAGCATTTTTGTGTTTTTGAAGGGAACCATTGAATTAACTGCATTAGAACATGTGCATTAATAGAAAAATGATGCATGCAAAATGCCCAATGCACTGGTGTAAAGAGCTTTGGCAAGGTGCCAATGTAATGGTGCTCAGAATCCTTGCTTTCCTATGTCTATGAATGAGCCCTATTATCTTTATAAATAAACTGGTTATTACAGCTAAAGTAATGTAAGAGATGGTGATAAAACAGGCTATTTAATTTCTTTAGTAGGTAATCTGTTAAGGAATTTTTATGACCAGGGAACACAATGTACAGTATATATATATTAGATACATCTTAGATATGTTCTTGACCTACTATAACGTGAAAAGCTAAAAAATGCAATATTTGTTATTTGATGATTTTTTTGTCACTTTCTAAGTTAATGCTTTACACTAAAATGGCACTAAGCTGATAGAATCTTTGTTGTCGATGGTAAGGGTTTATACACTTTAGGTGAGAATGAAAATCTGCATCTGTATTGCTCTCTCTTTCTTTCTATATATTTTATATACACAGACATATATACAATACAGGTCATTTTCCCTGTTGAAAACAGAATATTATAGAGAATCCTAAAGAAATCTGAACATTTTGGAGTTAAATATTGTTTTCAGTTACTAAGTCTATTAAACCTCTGTATTTGCTCAGGGAAACAGTTAAACACAAACAGTAGTCAGCAACACATTTACTTTGTCAAAAGGTGATGGCAGAAACTGCTTAGCAAGTAAACTGTTTTAACAGTGTTGTTGGTACATTTGCTATTGGTTAGTGCATGGTTCCATTACCTTGGCCACTGGCACATGGTTATATAGACAAGGATTCGTGTCCATCTCAATACAAAGTTTGATAACTGAATCTTTTGGTTCTGTGATGCAAAGTATAATGTTGGGCACAATAAAATTCCTTGTATTTATCTAACAAATGTTTCAGAATTGGCATATAATTCTGCTGTCAGCTAATCATAATGAGTTCATTTTTGAAGGCCAGACACTTCCAAGCAGTTACATTTAAATCCTTTATATACCTTATTTCCTGTGGACATTTCTTAAGATACCTTTGGTATTATGTTTGTGTATGGGATGTCACTGAAGGTAGGAACTGCCTTTTCTTGACAGGTCTGGCACTCCATTATATTTGTTGGCTGCAGTCTGTCTTAGTTTGATGACCCGCAACATAATGCACTTTGTGCTGGGTTTCCCATTCAGTCTAATTGCTTTTACTTTGCTTTATAAATGTGTGTCCTCTTCTTCTTCTAAATCCTCTCTTGTTAGGTTGTCAAGTGGAACAATCCAGCTGTCCCCAAGTTCTCCATTAGGGCCACCCTTCTTTTCCTGCATCTCTGGAGAGGTCTCCATGACTTCCAGGGTTGGATTATCATGGTAACCGTTTTCCATGGTCTGGAGCTCTTCGGTGAGTCTCTAGAAAAAGTAAAAGTAATATGTAAAACTGTGGTCCAACATATTTTATAGTAAGAAAAAGAGTCTTGGGCTGATTTACTAAAAGAGTTGAGAATCTTCATGCCATAAATTGTACAAATACTTCAATAATCCAATCACGTGAAAAACAAAATCACGTTTACATATTTCATTCATCTTAACATGATTGGGTATTCAAAGTGAACAGGGACTTGCTTTTTACCTGCACTGATAACGGAAGTGAATATTCACACAATATACAATGAGTGAAGATTCTCACCTGCTTTAGTAAATCAGCCTTACTGTCTCTTACGCAGCACTTGGAGAAGGATTTATATTGATATGAGGGGTATGCAAATATAAAAGGTTAAAAGACAATTTCATATCACTGCCTTACAATTTAATTCTTCTCAGTTTTTTTTTATCACTTCTTACCAGTGGTTTAAAGGATAACTGTAGTTTGAGTGCAGATGCTTTAGCTGACTTTGCCATTTAGCTGTTTGAACAGAATAAAGTGACAATGTGTACTTTGACAAGATGAGTATGTTCTTCTTCTAACAACTTCTAGGTCAGAGCTTCTGACTACATCTTGCTGTAATGAAAAGGAAGCTGCTCCCCAGAGACACTAGAAAAGTGGTCTCCAAACTGCAGCCCACAGGCCAGGTGTGGCCCTTTGCTTACCTTTATCCAGCCCATGGGATACTGTTCTGCCCAATGATATAGGGCACTATTCCTCCTACTGACACCAATGAAAAGGCACTATTCCTCCCACTGACACCAAGGGTGGGGCACTATTCCTCCCACTGACACCAATGATGGGATGCTATTCCTCCCACTGACACCAATGATGGGGTGCTATTTCTCCCACTGACACCAATGATGTGGACAATGATGGAGCATGGTTCCTGCTACTGAATTCCTCCACCTACTCATTTGTTTACACCCACTGACCACCAAACCTGAGACATTTTATACTCCTACTGGCTACCGTCTGGCCCCCCTAAAGTCTGAAAGATAGTAAACTGGCCCTTTTTTTTTAGAAAGTTTGGAAACCCCTGCACTAGAAGGTGCTATAGACAAGACCAAAAATGAACCACTCAAAGAGCTGACTACTGTCTTGTTCAGAGCTCCTTCCAGTGGCTCCTGGGAATCAATTTTATCAATTGTTTGTTTTGTTTTCCCATTTACACAGCATGCATTAAAAAAAAAATCTTATCTTTTAGAGGTTTATCTAGAGGTGGTGTCATAGCTGACTGCAAGTCTTTTTTGAACAATGTCAGAGTGAGTCTGTCTCAAGTCTGTCTTCATTAACATAAACACAGAGTGTTCAAATCTAGCTACAATTGTCTGCACAGTAAAGACAAGGTTAATTAGGGCACGCACAGCTGCCCTGCCTCTCATAAAGAAAATAATTATGTAGGATTTCTCCTTGTAGAATAGAGCATCTAAACAGGTAAACTGCATTTTTTCAATATTTTGATTAATTTGTGCTATGTGAATAGGAACATGTCACAAATATAAAGTAGGTGTTATCCAAATTTGGCTGCAAAAAGGGAAATACACTTTGAAGATCTTCAATGAAAATGCACTTCTGCACAAATACATAACATACAATCAAAAAAGAAAAAACAGATCTATATGGTCTATTCTTTTTACAAACAGGTTTATTTAATCATCAAGTATACAGTGCAATGAAAATTAATAAGTATGGTAACCCAAATTACCGGACAGAAATTTTCCCATCCTCTGATCACTTGGCCACTGCCAAAAAAAAAAAGAAAAAAATCTCTCCTATCAATAAAAAAAAATCACTGTTGAGGGTTATAAGTTTGAATCTAAAGTTGGAACTGCCCCATAGCAAGCTGGATGTACTATGTTTTTTATTGTTATGTGATAGATATTTTTAAGAGAACCAAACTGGGGTGTTTTTGATGACATACAATGTTTTAGACTATTTGCTATAAAACATCCAGTAAAAAAATTTAAAAAATACAATTTCATCATAAATTTAGGCCAAAATGTATTCTGCTATGTCTTTGGTAATAAAAATCCCAATATGTGTAAATTAATTGGTTTACGTGAAAGCTATAGCATCCACAAATGGCGGTATATATACTGGAATTTTTATTTGTAATTTTTTCTTTACTAGTAATGGTGGCGATCAGCAACTGATAGCAGGACTTCAGGACTGCGGTGGGCATTCTGACACTGGGTGGGGAACTGACTCACTGCCACTAACATCCCCACTGACACTAATACAGTAATCAGTGCTATTAAAAATACCTTAAACTGTACTAATGACACTGGGCAGGAAGAGGTTAACATCTGGGGTGATCAAAGGGTTAACTGTGTGTTTTACTATTTTGTCTGTGTGTGCTTTACTGTGTAAGCACACTGCTTTGTATTGCTTTGCTATGCAGAGCAATACAAAGCAGTGTACTGGTGCTAACAGGGGAGAGATCTGTATTCTTTATATACAGACCTCTCCCCTGTCAGTGTTCCTTGGCAATGCCAGTTGGAAATCTCCGGCCAGGATCGACAGCTGTAGCCGCCAATGGCAGCAGAGTATAGCGGAGTGCGCATGCCCCCTACGCAGAAGTAGAAAATCACACATATATATGATTTGGCGTAGCCCTGCTGCCCTGTAGCAGTAAATTAGTTAATAGTGCTGACCTACGGAAGGGACAAATCTATTCCACATGTAAGAGTAAATATGGAAGTTACTTAAAATTTGTAATGCTGTGCAGAAGGAAGGACCAGAAAAAGGATAAGATTATCCATGTACATGGCTAGGAGTTCATCTAATTTGCCCACTGATAAACCTTGGGGATTATGCCTTTGCTATTTGCTCCATTATCATTAAAAACAAGGGTGGTGACATAGGGTCCCAGATCTCAGCAGCATAGTGAAACCTGCACCTCCACCATGAGAATGGTCATGGGATACAGAGAGTCCTCCCCACCAGCCGCAGACACGATCGCTGCCATAGTGCTTGGAGTTTCGGGTGCTTTCGGCCACCTTTGGTTTTTCCCATCTCTAAATAAAAAAAACGAGAGGGACACCTTTTTAAGTGTCACATCAGGATTTTTTTTTTAGACTATTTATGGATGCTCTAAAGATGGTTTGGGGAGGCTAGTACACATCGGGGTTTTTTGTTCCTGTATGTCTATTACATAATTTATCACTTGACAAAGGAGTGCGCTAGGACGGTCATCTCACAGCTTATGCTCAAGAAACGCGTTGCTACGACACCCAGAGATGTCATCACGCATATGCTGCGCTCCATTGTGCGTTCCAGAACTTGGTATCAGGCCCTCTCCCTCTTGCCGGCTTGCCTGATACAGACAGATCGCTGATCATCATCCATTAGTGCACACTATGTTGTTCACCGTGGTGGACTCCAAATAGACGAATCATTGATGTGCCTACTTTTATCTACCCTCCTGTAAGTTGCTCTCTTTTATGTGGAATAAATAGGTTTCTCGTCTACACTTAGAGGTGCCTTTCCCTTTTTTTCTTTTTTACATGCATCTCTCTGGAAAAAGCTTCAATCCAGTGAAAGGCAGCCACAAGTGAAAAGGGCTCTTTCCATCCTGCTGTTTTAAGATATGCTATCTACTGTGTTTTTTAGAACACCCATCATCTACATACATCAGCTGTATCTTTTGGGTACTTGCTATATATATGATATTGTTATATGCATTGTTTATTCATACATGATATCTTCTTGCACCTTATCCATGGTTACAGTGCCACTATCAGACTGATTACAGGTTGCACCTATTTATTTTGTTTAATTAAATCAAGGACCTTGTCTATGTCTTTTGTAACTACATGTGTACCTACATGTAGCCCTATTCCCATAGGAGCCACAGAAATACTGTCCAGTTCCTCCCCAGTTACCTTGTCCCGCAGCCAGGCACAGTGGATCGTTCACACGTTTTTCCAATCTGGAGGTGTTGTTTTTATTGTTTTTATTTTTGGAGAACTTGGATAGGGATGAGGGAGATGAGTGGGATACTTAAATATAGGAACTATGTACACTTGAGGACTTTAACTCATCTTCTGGGCAAGTTATGTCAGAGACTGTGCTTGAATCAAACAATGGACTTCAGCTTTAAGGCAGTAGTAAAAAAAAGTAGTAGTAGTAGGATTAACAGTGATAGTAGTAGCAGTAGCGGCAGTATCTTCTTTAGAGCCCCAGGACAGTCTCCTTTTAAAAGTAGGCTAGGTGGACAAAGCTCTAAGGAACACTAGTAGGTGTTCCCTTTGCTAGACCCGCAGCTGACTTCCTCGCACCAGAGGGGGTTAAACAACACACAGTCTCTAAGGGATGTCTGTACTCACAAGGCCCAAAAGCATCTGGATGCTCTACTCCATGATATCAGACCAGATCTTCAGTAGATAGCCTCTCAATCAGCATAGCAGAACCCAGGTCTCAGCATTCAGGACCTCAGGTCACCCACCTGAGATTGCATGGCAAATACCTGGGAGGGCTGGATCAGTGCTGGACAGGAAAGAAACAGAACCCAGTGTGCTCACTGAATCTATACAGTTACCCAGCATGCCTTAGAGCTCCTCTCTCTGGGATAGACTGAGACTGTATCAATATTCATGATGCCATGTGCATAACTCCACACCTATCATCCAGAAACTTCTAAAGTTTCCTGAATACAGAAAAAGCTAGGCAGACTGGCAGCAGCTGAGCACACAGACCAGACCTAACTAAATGATCACAGCTCACCAAATTCAGTGAGCTAACTCTGCTTTCTCCTAACAAATATTTACAGCCACTCTGACTACAGAGTGACAGCTAAATTTACCTATCAAAAACACAACTAATTCTATCTGTCTAACCCTAGAACCTACCTAGAAGGGTGCTACATACGTTAACTTATGAATGTTGTGTGTGCCAAGTATCTAGAGGGCACAAATAACTGTAATTACTCGAGCAGCCAGTATTTTTGTAAGAATTGCTAAATCTATGTTTAGTAATGATTCCTGCCTTTATACTTAACTTGAGCTAGTAGGACTGAGATTTGCTTTCAGATGACTGAGCTTTCTTAAAAGTAAATGGGTGGATCTAGACTTGGAGTTATAACAGAGAAATTATGGACAATACATTATCAGAAATGTAAATGTACTATTCATAAAACATTTTTTTATTTTAAACTTTAAAAATGTTGCACATGGCAGCAGCGACCCATAGGACTGAGTTTCTAGATATTACTCATCACTACAGATGCAGGTTTAGGTTATAGATGGTCACATTCTCAGATCTCTAATATATCATCATCTTGTCCCCCAAAGATTAAAGGGAATGTTTAGTGTTTTTTTTACATATTTGCTATATTTATTTACTATGGTCCAGACTAAAAAGTTAGATTTTAAAAAATAGATTTTTAGTTGGGTGATTATTAAATATTTTTCATTCCTACTTCCAGCCAGCAGCTGGAACTTCACGCTCCCTAGTCATGTTTTTCAGCCTCGAAGCAGCTCATATTGTTTACAGAGCTCAGAGGTTCAAGCTCCAATTTACAATTGATCAAACAGAAACAGAGATTTTGAAAGAAAATAGATTTTGCTGTGCTTTCTCTTTTTAGAAAACCACAATGCATTGCTTAGCTTGTGCCATGGATGCAACCTGCATTACGACTGTAAATTTTTGGTTGTGAAATATAGATTTTGTATAAATAAAAATAATCAGTATATAATACATCATTTTGACTTAAAAAATTGGCCCCAATCCACTGTAAGTTCCATTTAACAGCTGTGAGCGAATAATGAAGTAAATATGAACTGAGGTTTACCTGTTCTCTCTTACGAGCCTTTCTCTGGTGCCAGCATCCATAAGCAGCTGCGATGATTAGCAAAAGCACAGCCAAACTGACAATGGCACTTATGAGGGGAATGCTCACCACATCTACATCTTCTGAGTCTGCCCCATCAAAACTGAACAAATATGAATTATCCTGAACGTGAATGCAAAGAAGAATGATTACATCTAAAAGTATAAAACACACTAAACAGATGAATTGTGAAATATAACGAAGCAATATAATAGTCGCCTTCCTGGGGGTCACCAATTAAAAGGGCTCAGACCTTTGTAAATCAGAATCAGTGTTCTAAATGTGGATTTTACAATGAAGAAAATAATGTTAGACTACAGGTGAAACTCGAAAATTTAGAATATCGTGCAAAAGTTCATTTATTTCAGTAATGCAACTTAAAAGGTGAAACTAATATATGAGATAGACTCATTACATGCAAAGCAAGATAGTTCAAGCCGTGATTTATCATAATTGTGATGATTATGGCTTACAGCTCATGAAAACCCCAAATCCACAATCTCAGAAAAATTAGAATATTACATGCAATCAATAAAACAAGGATTGTACATAGAACAATATCGGACCTCTGAAAAGTATAAGCATGCATATGTACTCAGTACTTGGTTTGGGCCCCTTTTGCAGCAATTACTGCCTCAATGCAACGTGGCATGGAAGCTATCAGCCTGTGGCACTGCTGAGGTGTTATGGGAGACCAGGATGCTTCAATAGCGGCCTTCAGCTCTTCTGCATTGTTCAGTTTCATGTCTCTCATCTTTCTCTTCGCAATGCCCCATAGATTCTCTATGGGGTCCAAGTCAGGCGAGTTTGCTGGCCAATCAAGCACAATAATCCCACGGTCATTGAACCAGGTTTTGGTGCTTTTGGCAGTGTGGGCAGGTGCCAAGTCCTGCTGGAAAATGAAGTCAGCATCCCCATAAAGCTCGTTTGCGGAAGGAAGCATGAAGTGCTCCAAAATCTCCTGGTAGACGGCTGCGTTGACCCTGGACTTAATGAAGCACAGTGGACCAACACAAGCAGATGACATGGCTCCCCAAATCAACACAGACTGTGGAAACTTCACACTGGACTTCAAGCATCTTGCAGTGTGTGCCTCTCCATTCTTCCTCCATACTCTGGGTTCTTGGTTTCCAAATGAGATGCAAAGTTGCTCTCATCAGAAAAGAGGGCTTTGGACCACTAAGCAACAGACCAGGTCTGTTTTTCTTTTGCCCAGGTAAGACGCTTTTGACGTTGTTTGTTGTTCAGGAGCGGCTTGACAAGAGGAATAAGACATTTGAAGCCCATGTCCAGGATCCGTCTGTGTGTGGTGGCTCTTGATGCACTGACTCCAGCCTCAGTCCACTCTTTTTGAAAGTCCCCAACATTTTTTAATGGCCTTTTCCTGACAATCCTCTCCAGGCTGCAGTCATCTCTGCTGCTTGTGCACCTTTTTCTTCCACACTTTTCCCTTCCACATAACTTTCTATTAATGTGCTTTGATAGAGCACTTTGGGAACATCCAACTTCTTTTGCAATTACCTTTTGAGGCTTTCCCTCCTTATGGAGGATGTCAGTGATGGTTTTTTGCACAACTGTCAGGTCAGCAGTCTTTCCCATGATTGGGATTCCTACTGAACCAGACTGAGAGACCATTTTAAGGCTCAGAAACCCTTTTGCAGGTGTTATGGCTTAATTAGCTGATTAGAGTGGGACACTTTGAGCCGAGAATATTGCACCTTTTCACAATATTCAAATTTTCTGAGATTGTGGATTTGGGGTTTTCATGAGCTGTAAGCCATAATCATCACAATTATGACAAATCACAGCTTGAACTATCTTGCTTTGCATGTAATGAGTCTATCTCATATATTAGTTTCACCTTTTAAGTTGCATTACTGAAATAAAAGAACTTTTGCACGATATTCAAAATTTTTGACTTTCACCTGTATATTATAAAGCGCTACACAAACTGTTGGCACTATATAAATCCTCTATTATAATAATAATAACAATAATAGAGTGAAGGACTATATATTCCCATAAACATGAAGAGAGGATTTTACTATATATTGCAAATATTATTGCTGGTGATAAGAACAGGTATTTATAAAATAGGAGCTTAAGGCTTCGGTACCAGTTTAGTTATTTTAAATTTGACATTGAAACATAATGCAATAGTCATTTTTTTTTACAATGAATCAGTATATAGACTTTTTTTTTTAACAACCAGGAAAATCCACTCACTATGAGTGTTGGCTTAGACCAGTGTCTTCCATGGTGTTCAGGTGATAGATTCACTTTAAAGTGGAGCTTTACACTGACTGAGGGGAAACATTTTATCACAGTGGGCAAGTATGCACTGCAAGTTTTCTAGACTTTAAAGCGGAACTATAGGCAAAACGTAGTTTTTTCCGCTTTGGATAGAGCAAGAAAGGGCTATGACCCCTGTCAGAAATTTTTTTCTTGCCATCTGTGTCCCATCGTGGAGATTTCCCTTCACTTTCTGTCCCATAGCCAAACAGGAAGTGAGAGGAAATGCCTGCAAAATAAGGGAATTCCTTGGGGATCCCCAGGTCACCAGAACTGTCCACATTGGAAGATTTCTCCTCTATTACTTTTCTGGGGGCTGGATTTTCTTTTGCTTTCACTTTCATTAATAATGGTAAACAGGACAAAGAGAGGGGGTGAACCTTCTCAACAGGGGCATACTGTCAGTATGGTGGGTTCTAATCTCTCTGCACTCTGTCCAAAGCAAAAAAAAAGTTTTGCCTTTCGTTTTACTTTAACAATCTATTTAAAACACCAATTCCGCTATACATATTACATTCTAATTATACAATAGCTCTACAGTATGCGTTAGATTTACAAAATGGGGGCCTACACACAATAAACAATCCATTCAATTTTTATCCAGACAGGAAGAGATTGCAATATCAGATTATAATACACTTAAACTGGCTTAAAGTAGAACAATAGGCAAACCTTTTTTTTTTTTCATTTTGGACAGAGTAAGGAAAGGTTATAACCCCTGTCCCTTTATTATTTTACCATCTGTGTCCCCATTGTGGAGATTTATCTTCACTTCTGGTCTCATAGCCAAACAGGAAGTGATAAAATCCCTACAAATTACGAATTCCTTAGGTCTCCAGAAATAGTGTCCTCATTGGAAAATGTCTGCTGTATTAGTTTTCTGGGACAAACTAAAATTAGCTTTTTTTTTTTTACTTTCACTTTTGATGATAATGGTAAACAGGACAAATAGAGAGGGTGAATCTCCCTAATGGGGGGACAAACAGTCATAAAAACCTCATCCATATTCCAATCCATCTCTACTCTATCCAAAACTAGAAAAAAGAAAGTTTTGCCTTTAGTTATACTTTAACAAACGTGTTTGCAAACCTATGGAAGGGAAATGTTTTAGAGAAATTGATATTTATAATGAAAGGCCTCGTTCACACGGGCTTACTTGACTCCTTTGTGGAGAATGTATGCAAATATGAGGCCTCTGTCTTGGTGCCCAGGCCCAACCACCAAGAGGCCACATATTTGTGTAGCAAAATGTAAACAAACTCTGCTGAGAGCGCATGACATGTGTACTCTCTGCACAGTTACAAACACCTAATGGAAAGCTATTTGCGAACAGGAGCTTTCCATTTATGTGACTACTGGGACAGCCAATCACGGCGGTCACATGATCATAAACCGTGCCCCGCCTCTTAGCATCAGAAACCCCTTAAAGGCCCAGGAGGCACTGACGTTAAGAGGTTAATTGTATGTCCATGTGAGGACTGTGTTTGCCTGCAAGGGGATGCACACGCGTTCCATGTATCCCCGTGCAGGCAGACCCATGTTAACCACGTGCCCTCCAGAGGATTTACCCCCTTCCTGACCAAGCCATTTTTTGCGATATGGCCCTGCGTTACTTTAACTGACAATTGCACGGTCATGCAATGCTGTACATAAATGAAATTTATGTCCTTTATTCCCACAAATAGAGCTTTCTTTCGGTGGTATTTGATCACCTCTGCCGTTTTTATTTTTTGCGATATAAACAAAAAAAAACCAGACAAAAAAAAAAAACCAATATATTTGACTTTTTGCTATAAAACATAGCCAATAAAAAATGTAAAGAATCAAATTTCGTCATAAATTTAGGCCAAAATGTATTCTTACTACATGTCTTTGCTAAAAAAAAATCCCAATACGTGAAATTAATTGGTTTATGTGAAAGTTATAGCGTCTACAAATAGCAGTACATCTACTGGAATTTTTATTTGTCATTTTTTTTATACTAGCAATGGTGGTGATCAGCGACTTATAACGAGACTGTGATCGGCATTCTAACACTGGGTGGGAACTGACTAACTGCCACTGACATCCCTAGTGACACTAATACAGTGATCAGTGCTAAAAAAAAAAGACACTGTACTAATGACACTGGGCAGGAAGAGGTTAACATGTGGGTGCAATCAAAGGGTTAACTGTGTGCAGTTTTACTTTGGAGACATGCTGCTTTGTATCTCTCGGCTGTGTAGAGAGATACAACACAGCATGTCCATGCTGACAGGAGAGAGACCTGTGTTGTTTACACACAGGTCTCTTCCCTGTCGGCTTTCCCCGACAATCGTCGTCCAGGACCCGGTGAGTGACATCCCTAGCCACCAATGGTGGCGCAGGTAGGGTGGAGCGCACGCACCCCCTACCCGGAAATGCAAATCACACACACACACACATATATATATATATATACATGATTTTGTGCAGTCCTGCCGTCCTGTAGCAGTATCTCTGCTATAGGGCGGCGTGCAAACAACACAATGGCTACATGGACACAGCCATTGCTCCCAATTTGACAGTTATGTGGATGTGGGTATGAGTCCCCGACTGCAGACAGTGTGCGCTCAGGGACAAGCACTCATGCACTTCTGTGAACAGGGGCTGTATCCGTGCAGCTGCTGCATCCCAATGAACATGAATGAAACTGCCTGCAGAGGAATGGACAGAACTCCTGTGCATCCCTGTGCGGGAAAAAAATGGCCCTCACATAGACATACACTTAAGTATTCCCATATGACCGAGGCCTTACTGTAAGTATAGTAGAAGGTTAGTCTGGTGTAAAAACGTCCCTTCTGAAACCCCAAACACACCAATATATGCTCACTGTAACCTGCACCCCCAGTCCTGCTTGCTTCTTTTTAAAACATTGCAATTTTTAATTATAGTAAGTCTGAATGAGACTGCCCAGGTTTAATAGCCAGTCTCCCATTAGGCTAGGTTCACACCTATGCAGCTTGCATTTGATCCTTTTCTGCAGTGCGTTTTGCGTTTTTGCACACGTGTTTTTGATGCGTTTTGTGTTTTGTTTTTTTTTTTTTCTTGTTGCTAGGCAGATTAATCACTTGCCTTCCAGTGGATTTACCCCCTTTCCTAACCAGGCCATTTTTTGCGATATGGCGCTGCGGTATTTTAACTGACAATTGCACATTTATGCAACGCTGCACCCAAATGACATTTATGTCCTTTTTTTCCCACAAATAGAGCTTTCTTTCGGTGGTATTTTATCACGTGTGTTTTTTATTTTTTGCACTAAAAAGAAAAAAAGACTGACAATTTTGAAATAAAAACTATAGTTTTGGCTTTTTGCTATTAAACATGTCCAGTAAAAAATTTTTAAAAATCAAATTTTGTCATACATTTTGGCCAAAATGTATTCTGCTACATGTCTTTGCTAAAAAAAATCTCAATATATGTAAATTATTTGGTTTACATGCAAGTTATAGTGTTTACAAATGGCGATATATATACTGGAATTTTTGTTTGTTTTTTTACTAGTAATGCCAGCGATCAGTGACTGCGGCGGGCATTCTGACACTGGGGGGAACTGAGTTGGTGTCACTGACATCCCAGTGACACCAATACAGTGATCAGTGCTAATAAAAAGCACTGACACTGTACTAATGGCACTGGGAAGTAAGGGGTTAACATGTGGGGGTAATCGAAGGGTTAACTGTGTGCTGTGTGTGTGCTTCACTGTAAGCACATTGCTTTGTATTGCTTTGCATAGCAGACAGGGGAGAGATCTGTGTTGTTTATTGACATGTCTCTCCCCCCGTCAGTGATACTCGGCGATCGCTGGATGCCGGCGGGGAATCACCAGCCAGGATCGAGTGATTGACAGTTGAGGCTGCGAATGGTGGCACGGGTAGGATGCACGCGTGGTGTGCATGCCGCTTACCCGGAGCTGCAAAATCACGTATGTAGACATCATTTTGCGCACACATGCTGCTCTGTACTAGTATTTCTGCTATAGAGGGGCATGGAAGCAGTAAAAATACATCAAAAACAAGTCAAAAACACATAAAAAACGCACTACATGCTCTTCCGCAGCGTCTCCATGGAAGTCTATAGAACCAAAAATGCAATAAAGCAGACAGAGTGAGACTACAACTGCTCTTCTTTTGCTAGCTAAGTACCAGGTATAGTAGTAAACAAATAAAAAAAATGTACATAATTGTACGAATGGAATTTCATAGAGAAACACTGTACCCCATTTTTTTTCAGTTGTGTATACAATTCTTTTGGCTCGAGGTGACCTTAAGATGGAAAAAAAAGAAAGAATGTTATATAATAAAAAATGTTGTGACATTAAATATCAACTTTCAATTAATAGGAATTGTTGTGTAAATCTTTAACCCAGCTTACCAGATATCATTGGTAAGGTGACTTGTACTCAAGCACCAACTCAACACAGACTACCTCCTGGTGAATGTATCTTGTTTTAATATTTGTGTGGGAAGTGGCAGTTTTCTATGTGAAATACTAGGCTACCCCAAGCAGTGCTAAATATGTAATATTTATAGACAGCACAATTCTTTGGTTATACTTATCTGCTCTGTTCAATGGTATTGCACAGATTGGCCCCTTATCCCCTTTTCTGGGTCCTACTCTAGCACTCTCTGGTCCTCCTCTTCTGCGAGTTTCCCATAGCAAGCTGGATGCTAAGGGGACACTTGTGCCGGTGTGCTCCAGAGCCGGGCTGTTTGCATCCATAAACACAGACAGAGTGGCTTCCCCCACCCCCACTGTGGCCTCCCAGGATTTGATTGACAGCAACAGGAGCCAATAGCTCCTGCTGCTGCTCCTGTGTCCTGTGAAACCAGGAAAAGCGGAGAGTGTTGGATCAAGAAAGAACTCAGGTAAGTGTTTGAGCAGTGGTGGTTTGCATTAGGCTCTAATTACACTAGTGTGATTTCAGATAACTTGAGTTGCACAGAATCACATGACAATAAAAATCAGTGGTGTCTGTTCACATCAATGCTACTCAGCGCTTTGCAATTTTGGGAAAGGTCTCTGTACTGCATTGGTGCGATTCCAGCATGATTTTGACCCCATAAAATATGCAAGTCAATTCAAAGTAGCATTAAAGTAGCATTCAAGTTGCGCTACGTAATCACACTGAATGTCAGATCAAAATCAGATCGCCGCAGTGTGATCCTAGCCTTAAAGTAAAAAATATCTAGACTTTAGAACCACTTAATAAATTAAAACATAAATAATTTAAAGGGTGAAATATAGTTTTAACATAGTAAAAATAGGTAAATAATACATTTTTAAATAGATATCTATAAATAATATAAAAATATTTCACCTGTACTCACTATTTACATATGCAATACTGCAGTACACTATATTCAAATTAGTTTATAGCTACGTACTTTCAATGAAAGCTTCAGCAATGACCAATAGATTTTCATGATTCCTGGCCAGCCGAATAAAACATTTATCTTGGTTTTCTTGGTATCCTGGTTTTTAAAGCCTTGCATACAAGCAGGGATATTGTGTCTCCTGTTGGATGTCCATCTGCTGTGTGCATACTGTCAGTATCCTGAAAAAACACAAATGTTTCAAGAAACCATTGGACACGTCTTACAAATTTTTATATTTTATTTCTGTGTTAGTAATCACTGTGCAGGCCTGTAGAGTAACTGTGACTAATCTATTATTTAAGATCTGCTCCAAATCCTGCAATTCCCTATTATATTAAATCTGTTCATAGACCTGAGTTAACAGTTATCACACAGGTTAGATTAATATTATTATAATACAGGATTTATATAGCTCCAACAATGGCGCAGCGCCTTGCAAAATGAAAATAGACATTACAGTTACAATACAATGTGGTACCAGAGGAAACAGAGGGCCCTGCTCATTAGAGCTTACAATCTAGGAGGAAGGGTTGAGTGATACAAAAGGTAATAGCTGCGGGGGAATGAGCTGATGGAGGAAATAAAAGGCAGTTTACTAGTCAGGATAGGCTTCTTTAAAGAGAAAGGTTTTCAGGGATCATTTAAAGGTGGATAGATTAGGAGATAGCCAGACAGATTGTGGTAGGAAGTTCCACAGGATGGGAGAAGCTCAGGAGAAGTCCTGGAGGTGAGCATGGGAGGAGGTGACATGGGAACTAGAGAACAGAAGGTCTTGGGAGGATCGAAGAGAGAAGTTTGGTTGATATTTTGAGACCAGGTTGGTGATGTAGCTGGGGGCAGAGTTGTGGATGGCTTTGTAAGTTGTTGTTCGTATTCTGAATTTTATTCGTTGGGCGAGTGGAAGCCAATGGAGGGATTAGCAGAGAAGGGTAGCAGACACTGAATGGTTGGTAAGGTGGATGAGTCTGGCAGCAGTATTCATGATTGACTGGAAGGGGGATAGCTATGTAAAGGTAAGCCAATGAGGAGTGAGTTGCAGAAGTCGAGGCGAGAGATAACCAGGGAGTGAATTAGGAGCTTTGTGGTATCATTGGTTAAAAAGGGACATATTCTGGAGATGTTGCGGAGACTGAGGAGGCATGATTTGGACAGGGATTGGATGTGGGCCTGAAAGGATAGTTCAGAATCCAGGGTTACCCCTAGCACCCTGGCATGCAGGGATGGGTTAATAGTGGTGATAGTGACCCTGACCAAGAAATTAGGGGAAGAGGCACGTGGGGGAGGAAATATTATGAGCTCAGTTTTGGATAGATTGAGTTAAAGGAAGTGGTGTGACATCCAGTTTGATATCTCTGTTAGTAAATCGGAGATACGTGAGGATACTGATGGGGTGAGCTGAGGAGTAGAGAGATATATGTGTGTTTCGTCAGCATAGAAATGGTATTGGAGATCCAACTGAACCCAGGGTGTGCTATTGACAGTTTTCTGTGGGGCACTCATTTATGCCACGTTTATGACACAAATGGGTTTATTTACTAAAGCTGGAGAGTGCAAAATCAGGCTCACTTCTTTATAGAAACCAATCCAATTCTAACCTCAGCTTGTTCAGTTAAGCTTTGGCAATAAAACCTGGATGTTGATTGGTTTCTATACAGAAGTGAGGCTGATTTTGCACTCTCCAGCTTTAGTTAATAAACCCTAAAGGGACAAATGATGCGAAGTAAGCAAGCAGAAATTAGGGGAAATCAAAAGTGATTAGCACAGGTTTTTAGATCTGTATGACGACATTTGGTTGATAGGCTTGGGGCCATCAATAGACATTAGATTCTTGTCCAGTGAGACTCTACCTTCTCATATCTATGGGTGCCATAATAGTGGGCACATACATATCAATATGATCAGCTAATCAGTCTTTCAATGCAACTAAGATCACACATGCGGGCCTGATCCTGGACCAGGTTGTGTGCATCTATAGGCACAGACAGTGGCTCAGCCCTGTCCCCCGCTCCCTCCTCAGATAATCTGATGGATAGCAGCAGGACTCAGTGGCTCCTGCTGTTTGAGGCCAAACTTGTGAGAGAGGGGAGAGAAGACCTGAAGCCGGTCACAGAGCTGGATCAATATAGGACTCAGGTAAGTGTTAAGGAGGGGGGCTGGGGGCCACTGGTATTGTAAGGTTTTTTACCTCTAAGCAGAAAATATATTAAGGTAAAAAACCATTAGCCTTCACAACCACTTTAACCCCTTACCACGGGTGCCTTTAAGGGGTTTCTAATGCTGGGAGGTGGGGTGGGGTTTATGATCATGTGGCCACCGTGATTGGCTGTCACATGATCTGAAAGCACCCAATCGCAAGTAGTGATCAGGAGCTTTCCATTAGGAGCCAGTAACTGTGAAGGGAGTGGGCACGGTGCACACTCTTGGCACAATTCTGCTTTTCTTTGGGTATGCATATATGTGCCTCTCGGTGTCAAGGCCCATACGCTGAAAGGCCACATATAAGTGTACTCTCGCAGCAAAGAGGTTAGACCAGAAACCTCACTCTCTATTAGCACTGATTATTTTTCATCCTTATGCTGCTAGCGTTAGTAAATAGATAGGAAAGTTACATTTCTTCAGTTACTTCCTAATTTCCAGGCCTAGGCAAATGATGTCATACATCCCAGGAGTCTTCAGGGGGGGAGGAGAGTTTTCTCAGCTAAGCACACCCTCTTGCCTGTGCATCTATGCCAAGGGCAGGGGGATTCTAGGAAGTAAATGTTATATGAATTATCTGCCCTTACCTAAGATGGCCACGGCCAGAAATACTAGGGGGGTGTTTTTCAAAGTGATTTCTCAGCAAAATAAAGCATAGAGATATGGATAGGTGAGTTTGCTTTGAATATTAAAAATTAATAAAATAGCATTTTTGGTTTGTGCTGCTCAGATGCAGTGTGATCCACTTTAACCATGACTGTGCTTTATTTTTCTTCCAAAATTAAACTCATGCATAGATCAACAGCTGGCCAAAATATATTTTTAAACTTTATGTTGTATCGTCTAGTCTAGGAATGTTGCTAAATGTGTTCATTGTGCAATTGTATTTGCCTTAAACCTGGAATGTCATATTTTTTGTTTGGGCGATGACAAATAAAATTTTCCAGCAGTGATTTTCTTTTGGGAAGAACTTTAAAGGAAACAAATTGTACATTATCCAGCTGCTGTTTACTCCAACAATATTGCGCATTGCTATGGTGACTAGTATAGCTTGGAAAGGGTAATACAGACATCCATTAATCTTAATTTGCTGGTAAACCTATCTGTCTTCACCTAACCTGCATATTATATCACACAATCAGACATGAGATTTATGAACTTTGTAAGACTGACTTTAACTGCCCACAGACTTCAGGGTGGTGGGTTGTGCAGGCATGGACTGAGTGCACTCAGAATAAGTTCTTGTCAGAGCTCACTGTTACCCCTTGTTCACATATATGCGGCCGTACGGACTGCATTTTGCGCGGGCACAAGAGCCCATTCATTTGAATGGTTTCCCGTGCCCATGACACGCAAGGAAGAAGTCCCTGCACCTCAGCCCGGGGAACCTCGTACGGTTGCGGTTTCCAGTGTGGGTGGGGTGCCATTAGAACTAATGGCACCCACCCGCGGGTCTGCATTTCTCTGTGTGGGTGGTGCGGCTGCACAGATGTGAACCTAGGGTTAAAGTGTATGTATAGCAGACTTCTTCAACCAGGGTGCCCAGGCACCCTGGGGTGCCCTGAGGTTTCATCAGGGGTGCCTTAGCAAAATGTCTACAAATTGCCAAAAACCTGTATACAAACCAGCAGTTGGAACAAGCATGCCTTTTAGTTACACAAAGCCACAGGTTTTCATTGAGCACCATTATGACCTTCTAGCCGCCGGCGTCCTGACAACCAATGACATCATCAGTTGATAAGGAGGATGTCAGCTGCCTGCACAGCATCCTAGTTTGACTCTCCCCTGCCCCTCTGCATCAGTGCTGGGGTCACATTAGCACAGTGATGGAGAACAACTGAGGGGGAGAAGAGAAACACTGGAATACTAGTCAGTACAAGTGTGCAATAGTGTATTTGCTAAATCACCTCTAATGTTGGGTGTCTACATGTGTGGGTGTTGCTGCGTTATAGAAAACTATTAGAATAGTTTTTCAAATTATTAAAATGGGGTGCCTCAAGACTTTCCATAATTTTAAAGGGTGATTTGACATCATCCATAATTTTGAAGGGTGCCTGGATTGAAAAAAGGTTGAGAAAACTGATCCAAACCTAAAATGTATTGTATTGCAGATTACTAGTCCTTAGATGTGGTGGCTGTTTTACTTTTCTTTTTTCAGCTTTTTTCTTTATTTCACCAGGTGATCCTGCCAGTAACACACCTCCTGTCCTAGGGTGACACTGTTTCCTCACTGTACTATATCTATGGAGGACAGGACATTGTGTTAGGACTACAGAACATGTGCTTTTTCTTCATCTCTTTAATAGAAGTGAGGGTATTCTGTAGTTTGTAGAGGAAAACTGCAGTTCAGTGCACAGGAGGATGCAAGGGCACTGATGTTCTGGCAGGATCAACAGGGTTTTCTTGTACTTGCAAAAAATGTACTTAGCCTAATTAAAAAAACTGCCAATCCACAAACTTTTAAGCTACAATATACCTTTTTGTTCTTGGGTTTACACACACTTTACTTGTAAGCAAATCTCCACACACAAAGTCCTTACATGCATACTCTATTATTATTGGGTGTATTATATGGGTGTGTACAGCAACCGAGGCACTGTAGAATAAAATGGTGGTGATGCTTAGGAATATGGTGCATTTTAATTACACTGTTTAAACGCCAAGTAGTGGTAAATGGTATTTCTTCTATATCATTAACCTGTAAGTACAGCTTGGCAAAATCTATAAGCAGCTTCACTGCAGAGGAGTATACCTGATAGTAGGAAGAGGACAATGACTTGACAGAGGAACCTGCAGCAATTACAGCAAAGGCCTTTGCCGTACTTTCTGCAGGTTCCTCTGTTAAGTCATTGCAATCTAGCTCAAGGGCTACGTGCAGAAATGAGAAATGCTTTACAAAGTAGACTTTTTTATTTTTTTGACAATCTGCAAATTATACCAAGTTCACCATGCACAAGAATTTAAATTCTTCCTGTCTCATTAC